TTATTATTTAACTTAGAAAGTCTTATTATGGATAAAGTATAATTTAGTATCTCGAGCTCTACAAATACTAAATATAAGTTGTATTGTAATTATGATCCAGTTTTCATCCTCAACTGTAATTTTCATTATCATGTTTTCATCACAATCTTCAATTAGTTAATTATATCATACAACTTTCAACCACACCTAATTCCGTCATTATATCTATAGTGTAGAACATTGGAAGTCATAAACTCAAGATTGGATCGGCGAACAATTATAAAATAAAATAAAATTAGTACCTATTAACAGAATTAATTAATTATCATCAACATTAAAAAGAAAATGGCGAATTTTCCTTTTTCTCCTAAATGAATTAGTATCTTCACACATTAATTCTTTCCTTTATTTCAAGTATTTCTTATTTCCAAAATTAATCAAGCCTCATTGGCGCGAGTAACTATTTGCAATTTTTTACGTTTCTCATGAATGAATTAGTACTATTTTCCCATTAATTTTGCCTCTCAATTCACATATTTAATTTCAATTACCTATGATTTTGATTTCTTTAGTTTTACAGAAACACATTTTCTATATTTCCTATATTCCCATTAAATTTACTTTTCAATTCGCGATCGCAACGAACTATAGAGGGCGTTGTTGTATGAGACGAATTCCTGCGATTTCCATCAAAACAGTCATTCAGTTCAATTCTGGAACTGTCTTCAGTGTAGTATTGCAATGTTCATTCTTCATTGCGGCTTATTATACTTAAAAAAGAAAAATGTTTGGTATTCTTTCTCATGCAGACAAAAACTAAATAGTATCCCTTTTTTTAAGAGAAGGAACATCGGAAAAATATTTGTAAATAAACCTGAAAAAAATATGCATCTTCTTATTAGAGTTAAAACCTAATGCCTGAGAAATAGTTTTACTAAATTTAGTGATATAACATGAAAGACCTACTTAAAGTTTACATTAAATAGTTTTGTGAATCATATTACTTCAAACATTAAAATAGGAAAAACATATACCTAAGCTCATAATTTTATATAATTTAATTTTGCAAAAAAAGTTTTTTGACAACAATTTTTATCAAAAAATTTTAAGTTTCAATGAAAATCATTATTTCGAAACTAAAAAACATAAAATGAAGAATGCTTACAAAACAAAAAAAAAAAAACGATTCTAAAAATTCTTCACATTAAAACAAAAAAACATTCATGTTTCTTTTTGTTTGCTTTTTGTATTCACGATGGGACGTAGAAAATATTTCTATAGAAAATTATCATTAAATAAGAAAAACAAATATTTGCAAGGAAAACTGTTTATTATAAAAATTATAACACTTATAAAACTTACGCTTTGTAAATCCGGAGAATTCCAAAATTATATGTTCTTCATTTGAAAACTTTATTCGCATATAATTTATACACAGATTATCTCTTCATTACTTTAAGATAACATACCACACAATAAAATTTCATAATTGCAAGATCTCGATATGAATTTCAATATGTAACTTAAACACAGAATAGCTGAATCCCATTTGAAATTTATCATTCAAAATTAAAAAATATTTACCAAGAAAACGATAAACATTTATTAATAATCAACATAAATGATATTATTTCAAGTAATTCGGATGATTCTTTATTGTTGTTTTCCGAATTATATAGATTCAGAAATATATACCATTCTAAAACTATAACAGTTCTGCATGTTCTGAAATCATGTTTATCAATTCGAATAAAGTAAGAAATGTTGACTTCTCTTTACTTTGTAATGAATTGAAGATTTAAAAAAAAATGTATTTTACCGTAATACACACATCTAAAACTGTGTGGAAGTTAGCGGTTGCAAGTTTGTTGATAATAGAAAGGTGAAAATTATTGAGAAATTTCTTCAAATGTTGGGCTCTTTTTGTTTCTGAAAGATTTACCAATGTACTGGGTCGTTTTTTCAATGATTATGATGAAACTATATGCCTGATATTTTCAGGCTACGGTAGAGGGCGGACTCAAGCGTTGCGGCCACGAATTCTCATTTTTAATTTCAACTACCGTTCATTTTGATATCTTTAGTTTTATCGAAACACATTTTCAAAGCACAACTATAAGTAAAATTAACTAGTGGATAGCTTAAGGAATACTAATTTAATAAAGTAGCTGGATTATGCAATCACGTTCACGCTCATCAATCATCATGTTTCTATATAACAAATTAGAAAATGGCTGGGTACTTATATATCGAGAAGAAGTGAAGGGATTATTCCTAACCACGTGATTAAAATCAGATTTAATTTGATACCTATAAGTAAACTCACACGTGTGTCTAACGTGATTGGCTTCTAAATCAACAAATGCCATGAGTTACCCACGATGACGACGTCACTTCGAAGTACCCAATTAAATTTTAAGAAACATGCAATTAAACATATATATATATATATATATATATATATATACATTGGTAGATAAATAGATAGATAGATATAGATATGCATGGTTCAAATACAACACTGAGCCATGATGGCTCAGAGGTTGAGGCACTAAACTGTCATTTGTAAGAACTGGGTTTTCTATCCCAAGTGGCGGCTTGAAGCTTCAGATTGATGGGTACCAGCTTGCTTGGGAAGTAAAGGTTGATTGTGCGTAGTACTGACCGCATTGCCACAATAATGACGATGGTCATGAAATTGTGAAACCTTAACCCCCATGATTCACAACGAGTTGTTATGGGAGTACTATACTTTCACACTTTTCACTTTGCTATCTAGGGGTTATAGGAATATGTGCAGCACATTTTCTAAAGAAAATTATAAATGCGATAATAAATGGGATACAAAAATAGTTCTTTTTATACAGTAAAACCCACTCTCTTGTCTGTTTAGCAATGTGAGATGCATTAATAAGTACAAGTACAAAATAGTACTTTTTTACATAAAACGCTAATAATTTCTAAGCCTTCAGTCTGATCTTCTCGGAATTGATTTCATTCAATTTATGGTGAAGAATTACAACCGAAATAACAACTTTCACGCTCAGATATTCCTTAGATAGTATTGCAAAGTGGTACATAAGTACATGTCAAAAGATGCCCGTTTTATATACAAAAACTCTTGCAACATAACTTTTGAACGATATATTCTATTGACTCGTATTTAGGTTGATTCGATTCAGCGTAAAAAATACTTTTAAAGCAATCATTCACCAGCTCATATCAAATATCAGATGCATGAATGCATACTTTTACCTGAGGTATTGTAAAACCCTTATAATTTTAAAACAATTGGTCCGATCGTTTCGTCATCGGTCCCACTTTAATGTTTCAGTGAGAAAAATAACGTCAGTAGCAATGCCTCACTTACCCACCTCTTTAGCCCTGTCACTTACCTGTCTAGAAGAAATTCAATTAACCCCCAAATCACCCAAGGCTAAAGAGAATAGAAGGGCTGGTTCACTCCTTTGAAGTAGCTCTCGCCGCGCCAATCCTCCGATTTTCTCTAGGGACGTCACTTTGGCGCAAAGCTCGCACTTTTACTTCAAGAACGGAGCGTTCGGCCTTAATAGCTCCAACTAATATTAGAGCATTTCTTTTTGCGAAAATTTCTAAGACATTTGTTATTTTCTATTATGACTTTCCTCAGTTTTTGCAGTGAATTTACAAGAATTTAAAACTATTATCGAAATGCCAGTTTGTGCGATTGCAACTTGAAAAAATTTTGATAGAAAAACAAAAGGAAAAAATATAATTTTCCGCGTGTTCCCTAAAGTAAATGAACAACTATGTAAAGAATGGATTCCGAAATGACACAGTTAATATAAAACAGCAATACGTTTATTCTGTCGTAAAGAACTTTTATAAAAATTCATTATCTAAATAGAAACCGCCTCGTTACTTCATAAAGAAAGGCAGGTGAAAAGAATTAAAAAATAGATAAAGTCAAAGAAAATTAAAATGTAAGTAAAAAGTATAAATAAAATATATAGTATATAGTTGAAATTCTCCTAATTTCATAACATATTTTTTAATGTAGTTATTCTAAATATTTATGATTTTTTTTAAAAATTATATTCTCTTCAATTTAAATATCTATAAATTATATCATCGTAAATTTAAATGTCTATAAACAATTGTAAAATTTCTAATGTCATTATGAACCTAAATTATTATTTTGTTTCAGTAATTAGCGTTTAAGGTTGATGTTTCCTAATGATTAAGTATGAACAAATTGCTATTAACGACATATTTTAAAATCAGGGATTCTAAATTTAACTTAACTTATCTTTATAAAAGAATATGTAGATAAAAAAAGTGTCGATATATGCCTTCATTTTTCTTAATAGTTAAAGTTAAAACTGAACTTTTTAAAATAAAGTATTTATCGTGTCATTTTCACCAACTAGCAAAACATTTTTATAAGTTTAAAATGGTATTTTTTTAATATAATAACCAAGAAAGTTTTTTTTGAACTATGTTTATGAACGGAAATAATGTGTTAATTACGTAAAGTTTGAAGGCTAATAACCAGAAAAAGTCTAACTTATTTTTACAAAGAGAAAGATGCAAAGTTATCATATCTTTGCTTGCGATCTCCGAGATCTGTGGACACAGTGACGTCATGAGGAGGGAAATCGTAGCTTCAGCTCTAAGAGCGGAGTGAACTAGCCCTTCTATTCTCTTTAGCCCTGCAAATCACCCCAACTCTGTTCTCAAAAGGGTAAAACATACAGGGTAGAATTTGGAAGTTTTCAGTCATTATTTATATTTACATAACAAAGAATTCTGTGATGAGATTGGTTTTTCCGAAGAAACTATCTTTTTTCGTCGCTGTTGCTATAATTACTTTTCTAATAGTTTTCGATGAAGACAATATCGACTTTGTTCCTCTGTAAACATGTATTTTTTCAACAAGATTTAAAGGTCTATAAAATAAATGAACTAAACTATTTTTCACACGAGAGAGCATTAAAAAAGCAAACAGTTTTATCTAAGCAAAGCAAACTTTTGAGAAGGCAATAAGCGCGTGAGCAATAAGAAAATTTATTACTGTTTACAGCAACTATTTGCTTTTTAACTTCTTTAATCTCGTTCATCTGATTCATCTGATTGATATTTCTATTTTAGTCTATTTCATTCCATATTTTCTGAAATTAGGAAGGGTATAACAATGGACAAGTAAGTCTATTTTTTTAACTATAAAATAATTACACATATTAATTTTTTAATTAATAAGTAGTAAAGAAAATATTTTTTCAAAGCAAAATTTCATAAAAATAGTTCTACATAACTTTCTTTTTCAAATTCATTTTTATCAAAGTAAAAGAAAATATTAAACTTGTTCCTAAATGAAATATTCTCATTAGCCATCATTGTTCTTGCAAATCCGTGTCAGCAAATGTCTGATACTAGCGTATTAACTTTATGCTTACATCCAAGAATTATGCAACATTAACCCTGAATTATATACATTTATGTAACAAATAAGTGTTCTAAATACACAACAGCGTTTTCATCATGTTATTGTTTCAGATTTGCTTTGTTCTCCTAAGATCACATTTGACTCATTAAACATCACATTTAATTGATGTTTAGTAACAATTTCGTAAATATTTTTTATAAAAATTTATAATTTTATTATGTCTAAGATGAAATTTGATACTCTGATAGTTGAAAAGATTAGAAAACACTTGGTCGGATGATTGAAATACCTCCTCATGCAATCAATGTTATATCCAGTATTGCATATAAATTATAGAAGGAAATTTAATTTATCAAAATGATAAAGAATCTATAAAGCCTGGCTCACATATCGGTAGTGTATATAGAATAAAGGGAAAGAGTAGTAAGCTCGATTTAGTGTAGGGTATTTCGTAATCATTGTACTTACTATATACTTTTAGAACCTTTGTTAGACTGGAAGTTAATAAAATAAGCACAAGGTGGGTAACAAATTAATGATAAAACGAAAAAAAAGACAAAGAAATCTATTGAATCACTGAATGAAGAAAAAAAACAGCTGGAATGAAGAAAAAAAAACATTTATAAGAGTTTGTCTAATAAAATTTGGAGGTTTTTCTAATAATTGCCTTTCAACTCTTTTTATTTTCACTGGCAATGATACAGAATTTGACATTTTCAGTCGCTTCTTTCTAAATAGATTTCCTTAGCATTATCTTTTACAACTCTTATGGGAAACTAATTTGAGTTGTGATCAGAGTGAGGATTCAGCAGAAGAGAAAAAGTCCCAACACTGGATGCAATTTTTGGAATAAAATTTAAATACCAAGATGGACTAGATTTTTAAAATATTTATTAATTTGTAATTGGCAATTTTTCAACACTTCATCATAAAACTACTCCACGAAAAGTGCGCAATAACCTTTGTCTTGTTGATGTCAGACCATAAAATTCTAAGAAGTTATATTTAATGACTGTTTGGCGAGAAAATGGCTGCGTTATTAATGAGTCTGCGTGTTCAGTTGAGTCTGTCGCCAAAGATAAATAATTTGGAGAAATGCTAAATTTAAACATAATTTTAATGAAAACTTAACAAAATTAAAACCATAGAAGAATAATTGAACAAGTAAAAGCTGAAGAAAAACGTAAGGCAGGTTACCGAAAAAAGAGATAAGTAAAGTAAAGAAAAGTTGAGAAAAAGAACAAAGTATCGCAAAAATGGTTTCGATGGTAACGAAGTTTGAGATGACCACGATTTATTTCTTGAACTTCAGTTCAGTTCAAATAGATAACAAAAATTACTTTGAGCGTAGATTGCATATTTTAGGTTAACCAGAGCATGAACTTTTAGAATCAAGTACGATGATTTCGCCACAGAAACTCCCCCTCCAAATACCGGAGGTATGGAGCAAGGGAATTCTGAATTTCACACATCTACCACTCCTGGTGAACACTTGAGGTTGAGATTCTGATTTTGAACAATTCAAAGGAATGGAAGTTTCCAAAAAGGCAGGCTTGAGACGATCTATACTTATTGTAGTTGTGCGGGATCCAATTTTCAGAGTGAAATGTTTACCTTGTCGAGAGAGTACCTGGAAAGGTCCGTCGTATGGAGGGGTCAACGGAGGTTTTACCCAATCTTTTCGGATGAAAACGTGAGTAGAATCTTTTAAGGCGGGATGCACGAAACAGGTTTGACGAGAATGATCAGAAGCAGGAACGGGTGTAAGCTTTTCCATTGTCTCCCTCAAGTGTTCAATGAAAGTAGACTCTTCAATGGGTTTTGTGGAAGGGTGAAAAAACTGGCCAGGTAGGCGTAAACCTGTGCCGTAAACCATTTCAGAACAGGAACCTTTCAAGTCATCTTTAAATGCTGATCTGATTCCTAGTAAAACGATAGGAAGAGTCTCGGTCCATCGAAGTTTGTTGTGGCACATAATACCTTGCTTTAAGGTTCTATGCAGGCGTTCGATCATACCATTTGCCATAGCATGATACGGAGTGGTACGTATTCTTTTTATTCCCAGCATGGACGATAGATTGGCAAACAATTTTGACATGAATTGTCGGCCTTGATCACTTGTTATTACAGCTGGCACTCCAAACCGGGAAATCCAATTGGTAACGAAACATTTTGCAACAGCTTCAGCAGAGATGTCAGAGATGGGTATGACTTCAGGCCATCGAATATAGCGATCAATGCAGGTTAGTAAATAACGATAGCCTTCTGAAGGTGGGAGAGGTCCAACCAAATCAATATGGATGTGTTTGAACCTATGATCAGGTAACTTGAAACTCTGCAAAGGACTGTTAGTATGTCTTTGAACCTTCGATTTTTGACAGTCTATGCAAGAACGTGTCCAGTGTGCAATATCTCGGTTTATTGACGGCCAGATAAATCTCTGCTTGATCAGTACTTTAGTGCTATTGATACCTGGGTGTGAAAGGCCATGCAAACTGTCAAAAATAATCTTTCGATGATTGACAGGCACGTACGGTCGCACAAGGTCGTTGGACACGTCGCAGTAGAGGAAAACGTTCGGCTGAACTTCCATTTTCTGTAACTGAAGTGATGAAGATGAATTTGTCAATAGGTTCTGTAGTTCCTGGTCATCCTGTTGAGCTTTAGCAATATCTTCCAGATTTGCATTAGCTAGGCAAATATCGTTTATCCTAGACAGGGTATCAGCTACCACATTGTCAGCTCCAGAAACATGCTTAATGTCTGTGGTGTATTGGGAAATGTAGTCGAGTTGTCGTGATTGTCTTGGCGAACAAGTATCATGCTTTTTCCTAAAAGCGTATACCAGTGGACGGTGATCTGTGAAGATAGAAAAAGATTTTCCTTCGACTGAATCTCTGAAGTGTCGTATGGCAGAGTAGATGGCTAATAATTCCCTATCGTAGGTACTATACTTCTTTTCAGCTGGAGTTAATTTCCGTGAAAAGAAAGCAATAGGCCGTGAACCATCTGGCGTG